CCATTTCTGGTCGAGGGGACATGAGTAATAATATAGTCAAAAATCTCTTAAAATTAGAAATATTGACCCATAGCATTCATATTCTGCTCTCAACTTAGAAATGGGATTTACGATCAGTAGTCAAAACAAAATCTTAAGATTCCATTATTTGTCGAGTTTATAGGCGTTATCCCATTTCTGGTCGAGGGGACATGAGTAATAATATAGTCAAAAATCTCTTAAAATTAGAAATATTGACCCATAGCATTCATATTCTGCTCTCAACTTAGAAATGGGATTTACTATCAGTAGACAAAACAAAATCTTAAGATTCCATTATTTGTCGAGTTTATAGGCGTTATCCCATTTCTGGTCGAGGGGACATGAGTAATAATATAGTCAAAAATCTCTTAAAATTAGAAATATTGACCCATAGCATTCATATTCTGCTCTCAACTTAGAAATGGGATTTACTATCAGTAGACAAAACAAAATCTTAAGATTCCATTATTTGTCGAGTTTATAGGCGTTATCCCATTTCTGGTCGAGGGGACATGAGTAATAATATAGTAAAAAATCTCTTAAAATTAGAAATATTGTCCCATAACATTCAGGCTTTGCTGACAGGTTTGAAATGGGATTTACTATCAGTAGTCAAAACAAAATCTTAAGATTCCATTATTTGTCGAGTTTATAGGCGTTATCCCATTTCTGGTCGAGGGGACATGAGTAATAATATAGTCAAAAATCTCTTAAAATTAGAAATATTGACCCATAGCATTCATATTCTGCTCTCAACTTAGAAATGGGATTTACTATCAGTAGACAAAACAAAATCTTAAGATTCCATTATTTGTCGAGTTTATAGGCGTTATCCCATTTCTGGTCGAGGGGACATGAGTAATAATATAGTCAAAAATCTCTTAAAATTAGAAATATTGACCCATAGCATTCATATTCTGCTCTCAACATAGAAATGGGATTTACTATCAGTAGACAAAACAAAATCTTAAGATTCCATTATTTGTCGAGTTTATAGGCGTTATCCCATTTCTGGTCGAGGGGACATGAGTAATAATATAGTCAAAAATCTCTTAAAATTAGAAATATTGACCCATAGCATTCATATTCTGCTCTCAACTTAGAAATGGGATTTACTATCAGTAGTCAAAACAAAATCTTAAGATTCCTTTATTTGTCGAGTTTATAGGCGTTATCCCATTTCTGGTCGAGGGGACATGAGTAATAATATAGTCAAAAATCTCTTAAAATTAGAAATATTGACCCATAGCATTCATATTCTGCTCTCAACATAGAAATGGGATTTACTATCAGTAGACAAAACAAAATCTTAAGATTCCATTATTTGTCGAGTTTATAGGCGTTATCCCATTTCTGGTCGAGGGGACATGAGTAATAATATAGTCAAAAATCTCTTAAAATTAGAAATATTGACCCATAGCATTCATATTCTGCTCTCAACTTAGAAATGGGATTTACTATCAGTAGACAAAACAAAATCTTAAGATTCCATTATTTGTCGAGTTTATAGGCGTTATCCCATTTCTGGTCGAGGGGACATGAGTAATAATATAGTCAAAAATCTCTTAAAATTAGAAATATTGTCCCATAACATTCAGGCTTTGCTGACAGGTTTGAAATGGGATTTACTATCAGTAGTCAAAACAAAATCTTAAGATTCCATTATTTGTCGAGTTTATAGGCGTTATCCCATTTCTGGTCGAGGGGACATGAGTAATAATATAGTCAAAAATCTCTTAAAATTAGAAATATTGACCCATAGCATTCATATTCTGCTCTCAACTTAGAAATGGGATTTACTATCAGTAGACAAAACAAAATCTTAAGATTCCTTTATTGGTCGAGTTTATAGGCGTTATCCCATTTCTGGTCGAGGGGACATGAGTAATAATATAGTCAAAAATCTCTTAAAATTAGAAATATTGACCCATAGCATTCATATTCTGCTCTCAACTTAGAAATGGGATTTACTATCAGTAGACAAAACAAAATCTTAAGATTCCATTATTTGTCGAGTTTATAGGCGTTATCCCATTTCTGGTCGAGGGGACATGAGTAATAATATAGTCAAAAATCTCTTAAAATTAGAAATATTGACCCATAGCATTCATATTCTGCTCTCAACATAGAAATGGGATTTACTATCAGTAGACAAAACAAAATCTTAAGATTCCATTATTTGTCGAGTTTATAGGCGTTATCCCATTTCTGGTCGAGGGGACATGAGTAATAATATAGTCAAAAATCTCTTAAAATTAGAAATATTGACCCATAGCATTCATATTCTGCTCTCAACATAGAAATGGGATTTACTATCAGTAGACAAAACAAAATCTTAAGATTCCATTATTTGTCGAGTTTATAGGCGTTATCCCATTTCTGGTCGAGGGGACATGAGTAATAATATAGTCAAAAATCTCTTAAAATTAGAAATATTGACCCATAGCATTCATATTCTGCTCTCAACTTAGAAATGGGATTTACTATCAGTAGTCAAAACAAAATCTTAAGATTCCATTATTTGTCGAGTTTATAGGCGTTATCCCATTTCTGGTCGAGGGGACATGAGTAATAATATAGTCAAAAATCTCTTAAAATTAGAAATATTGACCCATAGCATTCATATTCTGCTCTCAACTTAAAAATGGGATTTACTATCAGTAGTCAAAACAAAATCTTAAGATTCCATTATTTGTCGAGTTTATAGGTGTTATCCCATTTCTGGTCGAGGGGACATGAGTAATAATATAGTCAGAAATCTCTTAAAATTAGAAATATTGACCCATAGCATTCATATTCTGCTCTCAAGTTAGAAATGGGATTTACTATCAGTGGCCAAAAGAAGAGCCTAAGTCAGAAGGAATGGGTGCATAGTCAGAAAGAAATGCGAACATGAGTGACTTTTAGTGTAAGCATAGAGTTCGAGATAATTTTTGTCATTAAACAATATATCACATGACTAACCACGGGTCCAGGCAGTCCTGTGGGTACCCGGGTCCTACTCAGTACCCACCCGACCCAGGTACCCGAGTTACCAGTTGCAGCCCTAATAAATTCACACATTGTCATACAAAGAAATACTAATGTTACAAAATGACATGTCACTGTGGTTCATGTACATCAAATTACTTTTCTTGTAAAGATAATATATGTGGGTGTTGACATCAGTGTGCAAGCACAATCATCACAACACATCCAGCAAGTCAGTCATCCTGTATAACAGTGGCATTTTAATCCTCCCTGTGTGAACCAAGCCATCATTATTCTTCATCCACAGTGATGTGGACACCCCTCCCTGGAACTTGACTGGCATCAAATTCTGTTGATTTACATTCCTAGTTGACTTCTTCATAGGGTTTATTCAGCACATCCATCAGAATATGAATTATAGCTTCCTTTACCCCAACATACATCAGGTAATCTGTGGCAGCTCTGAAGTGTAAAAAAACATATGTTTATGTAAAAACAATTGACTAAGCACCGTAGCTCACAAAGACATCAACACATGTACGCAACAGTTTGAAATATCAACAAAGCCAGTCATCTAACAGGATTTGTTGTAAGCATTGTCATTCATTCATTGTCATAGAACTATTTAAAGAAAACGCAATGAATATATCCAGAAATTGCAGCCTTACTGAAATATTTGGTTAACACATGTGACATCATTGGAACAAGTATGTGATGTTTCAGTGTCATTGTTTATGTGGTTTCTAAGGAGAAGAGAGACATCAGAAAGGGGCTTCGCACATTGTACCCATGTGGGGAATCGAATCCGGGTCTTCAGCTTGATGAGTGAAAGCTTAACCAGTACTTACTTACTCAGATGACAGATAACCAGTCCATGACATTAACCGGGTACAATGACAGGCAAAGATATTTGACCATCTCATACTGACTTTTGTTATTTTAACCAAAAGACGTTAAAAGATTGCTAACGCAAATTGTTTAACCTTAAATACAGTTTGCTGACTCCGACCCAAATAGTACTTGTTTTAGCCCCTTATTGTCGAGCACCAGACAGGGTAGGAACAAGTACAACCTTTTATCGTCTTTTGGTATGACGTGGCTGAGGGTCGAACCCACGACCCTCCTCTCTCCAGGTGGATGCTCTATCCACTAGACCACGGTGGTGGTATCAACCAAGAAATCCAACATTTCATCATAGTCAACTGTTGGGTAAGTACCCCATGGGACAGAACATAGGTCCATACCAACATATGCTAACCTAATTTATCTGATGGTCAGGTTCGATGACTTGGTTTATTACATGTCAAGTGGAAGTGTCTATATGTCAGTGTGTTTGGCAGTTAACTGCCTGCATTGTTGCTTATTTGATGGCAATATGTGTCACGTGTAGAGTACTTAATCAGGAATTACATGACATTCCATGAATGAAAACGAAAGCCAATCCTACAATACATTTTTAGTAAATGCAAATAAATGTAACATTAAGCCAATCATGGTATCTGTCTCATTCCTCTGGTATAACCTCAAAACTTAAATATAATGTATGTTATCAGGAATTATTTGAAACAACCTGTTTCACAAAGTGTCACAAAATATTAATATTTAATACCGTGTATCTTTCAGTCTGGTTAATGTCAAAGCTGATATCAAGTACTGAAGCATTTTTTGCTGCATCTGAAACAATAATAAAAGTATGCAAAATATATAGGGAATACACGTCTTGTTATGTAATGAAGTAAGTAGTTAAGCAAATATAAGCAGATATAGCAACACTAATAACATTTCGTTTGAGGTAAAAGCACAAGTTAATTTGGAACGTGTTTAAATTGTACTTGTGACAACAGGGGCACCACAATTTCCTCATGACTTACCACCATGCACTTTCAGATAAAAATACTGTGTGTGGGTATAAAAGTGGAAAAAAACATTTTCATAAACATAAAAAACAAAAATCAACAAATCCCTTTCTATTATCATGTGAAATTTCTGCTTAAAGGGAAGTCTTTTTAACGAGTTTCACCATATCACAAGCATGTTTTTATGAACAACTGTCAATACAGGGTGTTCAAAGAAAGGTGAGGGTGTCGTTTCCCACTTATGACACCAATCACAAACACATGCAAAGGCAACACTCGTGACACCTTAATAAATACGGGAACATGGTACAACTCAAAAAAAGGAATTGCATGGGACATCATTTTGGTCATTAATGCATTAAAGTTGGAAATGGCTTCCGCTTCTACCATTACATGTTTTGAAAGCTTGCTGAGGCCTTGAATATTGTAGCCTTGATCAAACAAGTTTGAAGCAAGAGTTGTATGGCACTCTTTGAAAAACTTTGTAGAAAGAGCACGCTCAATTGTACCTTAAAAGGCTGTAGCTGTTTGAAAATTGTCAGACATAAAAGCATAGTTGAGTACTAGAAAGTTGACGTCACCCTATTTGTTCTAGCCTTGTGTATACTTTACTGTCACTCTGAATCCTTATGCATAGACCAAAATATAAAACAGATGTACTAGTCTCTTTTATTTCCAGTTCAGTGGAAGGGAATGGTTACTTACATTATTGAACAATTTCAGATCATTGATATACAGGAATCTAAAGTCAAAATTCTTGACTGAATTCCTGTGTTTTTTATTTTGCCAATCCGAGCAGAAGTTCTGATTCATATGCATAAAGAAACAGATGGGCAGGGACCTGAGCACATGGCTACTACAGGAACAGATCCAACAAGAAGGTCCAATTCCAATTAACCTAGTAATTGCATGAACTAAATTATCTAAATAAAAATGGTACAGACGTTACTAGAAGTCAGACAAAACATATACTTAATGCAGTATGCAGTATGACTTCCATGCTCTCACACTGGTTGATTACTTCCTTCTATGTCTACAGTGTTATTCATAGGAAAACAATTCTTATTATGCCACAGTTTCCAAACCTGAATGTACTAAAGTACCTATAATGAATTATTCACTCTTAAAACTATCTGACAGGTTATCTCAATGCATTGTCATAGTATCTTCTTACCTACATGAAATTTCATGTTATTGTAGTTTACCAAGTCTCGTTTTGGTGATGGAAGTAGTAATGCTTTCTCAGTAGGTGTAACCAAAAACCTTCAGGTGGGTATTTGTTCAATAATCTGTGCACTGTTCTCAACAGAATACAATGACAGATTGAACCCATTTTTATATATCAAAAGAATGGACAGCTTGACTGATATTCCTTTGAAATTGAGGTGGTATCGATTGTAGGAATCAATAAGCTGCCAGAATATATATACATGAGAATATCCCCGAAGACAACATTAGCTCTCCTATTCCACCAGATCCTTCAAGGAGTCCCAAATGACAGGGCTGTAAGTTATCATGTACACAATCCTTAAAGCATGGTCTTGCATTGAAATAGCTCACAAATTTTCATGTAACGTTTTCATGAGCAATGATTGGAAGGATGTTTGTTAAAAATAATATATGAGGCAACTGTCACATTTGAGAAGGTACATACATATTGAGACAGATATCCCTCTGCAAAATTGACTCTTCGGTCTGGTGTTGGGAAGCCGCTGACAAACTCATCATGCCTTTGAAGTTGTTCCTCACTGAAAAACATATCTAAAATGAGTGTTTGTTGTTCAGTGCCCCACTCAGCAATATCAATACTATATTGTGTCTCAACAAGACCAAATAGTGTTTTGATATTATGAGCAAATTTCTCACAGTCATAATGTATGATGTCATAAATTCATCCAGGGTCACAGAGATTTACCACCTGATCCATTGAGTCTCCTGGTGTGACAAGCATAGGTTGCTAGGGACTAGTTCTAACACAGTATCCATTAAGTCTCCTGGTGTGACAAGCATAGGTTGCTAGGGACTAGTTCTAACACAGTATCCATTAAGTCTCCTGGTGTGACAAGCATAGGTTGCTAGGGACTAGTTCTAACACAGCATCCATTAAGTCTCCTGGTGTGACAAGCATAGGTTGCTTGGGACTAGTTCTAACACAGTATCCATTAAGTCTCCTGGTGTGACAAGCATAGGTTGCTAGGGACTAGTTCTAACACAGTATCCATTAAGTCTCCTGGTGTGACAAGCATAGGTTGCTAGGGAATAGTTCTAACACAGTATCCATTAAGTCTCCTGGTGTGACAAGCATAGGTTGCTAGGGACTAGTTCTAACACAGTATCCATTAAGTCTCCTGGTGTGACAAGCATAGGTTGCTAGGGACTAGTTCTAACACAGCATCCATTAAGTCTCCTGGTGTGACAAGCATAGGTTGCTTGGGACTAGTTCTAACACAGTATCCATTAAGTCTCCTGGTGTGACAAGCATAGGTTGCTAGGGACTAGTTCCAACACAGTATCCATTAAGTCTCCTGGTGTGACAAGCATAGGTTGCTAGGGACTAGTTCTAACACAGTATCCATTAAGTCTCCTGGTGTGACAAGCATAGGTTGCTAGGGACTAGTTCTAACACAGTATCCATTCAGGACTTCAATTAGTGCTTCGTGTTTTAATGGTACTTCAATAATTCATTGTTTTAGCTTGTTTTGTTTTGGTAAAACCCACAAACACAGGTTAGGAGTAAATCAAACACTATGAGAAAGCAACTGGAATAAAACCCCAGTTATTACTATATCTGGATTGAAAGTCATTCCAAGTTATCTGCCAACAAAACATCTCTTGCAGCAATTCTCTGCAGGTGTGCCACTACATTTTCTTTCTGTATAAATTTTAGTAAAGAGAAACATCATTAACACAAGTTTAAGAAAACATCTTACTGAGAGTGAATAATACCTTCTTATCAGGTATCTAATGGCAGCAACTGACATGTGCCTCTTACAATTGTTAAGCTAAACTTTCAAATAATGTTTTGTGAAATATGAAGGCACCATGGCAAAAACATTTATGAAGGTAATACAAGAGTACTGTTTACTCAGATATAATTTTTAGAATTTTTTTTATTAAACAAAAGTACATCTGAAATCATCTTTGGTTAATATTTCATACTGAAAACATTAATGGATCTATCATTAAGCAACTGACACAATAATAAGGAAATGTCTTGTTGCAGGTGTTGCATTGGGTGTGGACATGCCTTGTGTTCCCATACAGCAGTGTTGATTGCATACTTGGAATCTGAATCTGATTCATCTTCTGTGTCCATTTTGGTGTCATTAGCTGCTTCCGTCTCTTTCTCTTAAAATGAAACATGATTGTATGTGAGATGTGGAACCAGTATGCGTAATCCTTGTACAAGTAACAAGCATATGAATGAACACAAGAATGTTTTTTCTGTGTATGATAAGTATGAAATGGTTAATGTCAGAAGTATACTTATATTAGCTCTCTATCCTTAATTTCCAATGAGTCTGTGAATATATGAAATGTTCAGTACCAATATAGTAATATACTGATGTCTCTGTGGTCAGAGATGTCATAAATTTATATCTGATAATAGATACATGCCACGGTCTCAATGTGACGATCCAAGTGTAATTTAGTTCTTAACTTAAAGAACATGCACATGCTGGCACTTGCACAATGCTAGGCATTATTGGGCTTTGTTTCAGCGTGAAGACAGAGTCAACTGTTTTGAGTAATATGTAATGTTATAGGTATATATTGCAAAAACCTACACAAGTTCTGAATGCTTTGACATGGTGACCTGCCATAATTATTTTAACTGTACCATCAATAAAGGACAAACCTCCTTCTGTGGACATTGGTATGAGTGTCACATAATGCAGCTCCCACAAGTGGCCTATGCTTAGTACTGGCATGTCTCCTCGGTATTCAGCTGGACGAATGAATGTAGGCTTATTTGCAATTGTTGTAATGATCCTGATGGTCACCTTATAGAGGTCAGCTGTTGCCTGCAGAATGATGTTGTCTCCCCATTCCCCCAACATCTTCATCTTGATGATATAGTCTCTGAATGTTGGATAATGGTTTTTATCCACGAAGTCCTTGAACAGACACCGCTTGCCCTAAAACATGTTCAGTTAGTGTGAGACTGAGAAATGTTACTGTTCTTCTTTCTTCTTATACTACATGTAATACACATAAAATGAAAAAACAAAAAACAACAAAAAACATGACTCAATGTTGTGTTGTATAGTCATCTAAGTTCAAAGCTAAAATGGTACAAAATCTCTACAAGTGACAAACCTCACATTGTCAGAAGATACCATTTTGCATGACCCCCATGGGGAAGTACTGGTACTTGCATCTTTATGTTAAATGCAACATGCATAGATAATGAATTGAAATTGTGCAATTCATCAGGTTCCATGAATTTGGTCAAGTGTTTTTATGTTTGCCCAAAATTGGAAAAAGTGAAAATTCAAGATGAGCTAATGAAAAAACAGTTTTCACTGGCTTGCTGTATAAGTGCATTTACCTTAAATGCAAAGTTTAGTCCCATTTCACCTCATCCCAATCTATATGCCTTTCAAAATTTACTTGAACCTATTTATTGGGGTAAACATGAAGTATCAGAAATTATTCATACAGCCCAACTGAATATAAAGTCAGTGGTTTATACTGTAACCTAAAAGAGCCACTTTGCATAATAATTTTAGACTTGCTCATTTAGAAATGTGTATACAGCCTTTCTGTACAAAATTTCAGCCATCACATTTTTTAAATGCCTTTTAAGGTCCTGATAACTCTTTATGAGGTCAAAAGTAAAACAAATTTTATAATGTAATATAAATGTGCTGCGGAAGTATGAAACCTATTGGAACTGTACATGTACATATGTGGCAGATAAAAGTGAATATTCAGCTTATTTTACACACCTTATCTGACAACTGTCATGCAATTTTGAAACTTAAATTCTCAATATTAAGAGGTGTCTCATAATATTTCCAAAACATTTGAAAGTAATATACCCTACTAAACAGGCTGACCTGAGGGATGTTTCCTTCATTGGGACAACCATTCGTTTATCTTGTTTTAAATAAAGAAGTTTAATCAATGTCAAGGGCATCACCAATAGAGCCCCATGACTCTCCAGCTCACATAACATAAGAAGAATTAATGAAAATATATTTGATGGAAAGGTTGAGAGCAAATTGTCATTGACATATTTAACATAAGATCCAAAATATGTGAGTACTTTTCAGAGACAATAATAACTAATGCTATTCAGGCAAAACTTTGCTTCATAAGCTTTGAGGTTTCGTCCTGTAAGCCAAAATTTCAGTAACACAAAAAATAATGTGGAATTCATTACTGGATAAAAATTGAAATTCACCAAATCAAATGTACTGCCGTTATTGTAAAAAACATTCTTACTGCATATCAATGTTCATAATGATAACAAATATAAACTTTTTAAATCCATTGAGGTGTAATAATCTGAACAAACTTGCATGCCAAATTTTCAGCTGGTCCACTGATTTCTAAGAATAACATGATTCCAAACAAATAGGACATGGCTTCAGCCCAATTAGGCTTTCACATTTTATTCACTATATCAAATTTCTACCCTAAGAAAATTGAAAGTATGCATTATTGTTTACTTACCTGCACATATTGCACAACCTTTTCTCGCAGATGTTTATGGCTGATTATGTCAATGTCATGTATTTGAAGCTGTTGAACCAATGCAATAAACATGCAGTTACCAGCCCCTTCATTGTCCACAATGTCAAGGTCATAGAATGAGGCCTCCATCTCCAGTTCTTTCATAGTTGGCGTCTTCTTGCGTCCTGCCTAGACACATTATATAAGTAACACAAATTGTCCTGTAATATATCTCTTAGTATATTGTTTTTATGGAAACAACTGTAATGTTCTGCAATACATGTACTGATGTAGTATTTTTCAGCTGAGACAATGAACCATTTCAGATGTGCATGATATACAGGAAGACATATGAGCAACTGACACAACATCATATGGAGAATTTGTGTACTCCTTCCAACAGATATAATTATGCATCTAGGATTGATCAGTCTTGCTGATCGTACCCATCTGTATTCAGATATTACCTTTTGTTTCTACATTGTCTCTCCTCTTGGTTTGAGCCTGTTGTTCTCCCTTTCCTTAAAAGTATAAACATACATCACCAAATGCAAGCATATACCTTCAGGATAAAATAATGCTTTACATTCATTTTATTTTGAAAACATTTATTCCGTTGAAGTGTTCAATATGTGTAAATGTACTCTGAAAGGTGGACAATTTGTACAAGTATTGATTACCCTTCTTATTGTGCATGCATGCATGCAAGTATTCATGCATATGCCTAATGTTTTGGGGACTAACCGTTCCAGAAGATTCCTATGAGGTGTCTCAAATTGTAATACCTTTTTCATCCTGTGTTTTTCCCCTTTTGAGTGGCTTTCTACCCTCTTCTCTTGCATCTGGCAGAGCATCTGTTAGAAAAATATATGAAAATTATCACATTTATGCCTTCTTCTGCACATACCAACATATCACAGAGCGACCAATTTAACTGGTTAAGGAACTGAACTGAACTGAAAATCAACAAATGCTTCAACCATTGACTGCAGTTTGATTCCAGACCCTTGATCAGTTGTGTTTTGTATACCACCTAACCTCCTGTGTCAATGTTAGCTTTCGTTCCAAGAAGACAAACCAATGAATGTCCCTTGTAAGTAATGTATAATATCACAGGAAGTATCATATACCACATTAATCCTAAGATTTTAGTACAAATGACATAACAATTAATGACTACACCAAATTATTTCAATACCTTGCAAAGTCGTGAATTAGTAATTGCATGTAATTACATTTGCTATGATCCATATAATACTTTCAAAATTCTGAACCATAATTCCACAACAGCAAAAACATTAATTAATGTATGTTCCTGATTTTAAGTATGATGCTGTTCCTTCTCTTTTAATTAACACTGCAGTATTAGCAACATCCTCACTGTCTGGGTACCATGTCATAGAATAAACCAAGTTACCCGATCACCTGGTCAAATTAGTCACCTCAAGCATGTATTGCTGGAGACCTTTTTCAACCTGCAGTAGCAACATGAGTTGTATCATCTTTGATAACTGTTCTGCTTAGCTGTCCAACTTGGTATTTTCTTAGAAATGCAAAATATAAAAGTCTACCAAAGAAACTGAATAGCAGAATAACAGAACCTGCCTGATGTGTATATAAAGTTTCATGAAGAAATACGCAATGGTTTATGAATTGTGCTCTGGAAACAAACCCCACCCTCATTTGAACCAACTGTTTGCCATGAAAATGCAAATGAAATATTATAAACATTCCAGCATGGGAAAAGGCACCAATTGTGAGGGTCCATGAGGAAATATTGAATGCTCTTGATACAGAATGTGACAGATGGACACACTGATCTCGTTTCTGTATCTCCAACTGCACTTACTTTGGGTAGAGGAAATGATAAAAACAGCAAATACATTACAAACATCATGTCTTTGCAGTCCATCAAGATAGATGATGTCATCTATTCTGTAAGAACTATTTTATTTAAAATACATTATTAAACATACTTGCTAATTACATAATATTCATAAACTACTACTGGAAATATGTACCTTCATATGTCCTCATTCTTCTCCTCTTCTCTTCTTTTCTTGTCCGAGAAGTAATGTCACACACCTGCTCCCACTGCACATGCTTGTTCGGATAGGCAACCTTGAATTGGGAGTTCTGGGAATCTATTTCGACAATAGTTCCTTCCTTGCATTTTTTCATCCCTTTTTTGGGCCCACCTCGTTTGACTCTGGTATCTTTTCCATGAACCCTCACCAGAACTTCATCCCCTATCTTGTACACTGATGTGTCCTTGTTTTTTTTAATCATTTCTGATGATTTGGTCAGTGACGCCTGCAGCACATTTTTCCTGAGGTTTCCTGTGATTGCTTCTATTCTCTCATTAAAGCCATATTCGTCTTCAGTATCCTAAAGAATAATAAAGTATTACATTTACCATGTTTTAATGTCCACATATCTAACATAAACGTCAAATAATATCACTTCCACTTCACATGAGTTTTACCTCATATTCTAAAGTTTAGAATCTAAACATATCATTACTTCTAATATCTTGCAGTTGAAATAGTTCTATGTACATGTCTCTACTTGTCACATCTCCTGTCATTATTGCACAGGTTTACAGGACCCGATGACAGTTTTTATCCCCTGCACCTACAAATTTGTCTTTTTATTTTGTATAAAGTTTTGAAATTTTGACTTAGTCTCTGAACTGAATGGAAGCAGTGGGGTTTACCAGAGCAGAACTCGAAAACTGTTCAAGATATCTTCATGAAACTTTGTACAATATCAGTCTATGGCTATTATAGAGTCTTTTTTCTTTAAAAAACTTCAAAATATGATTTATTTTCTTATTCTAATTAAATGACACACCAGTAGACACTGCAACAAAATCCATAAAAGCATTAATTGTAGATGTATTAGAAATTCACCAGGTTTTGAGGTGTCAGCATGCTTACAACTTTTGTACCTTATCTGTACCGTGTACCTTACTCTGGTAACTACATGTACCTATAAAGGGCTGCAACAATACCTGCCTGAAAACAATGCTCTATAATACCATGCATGATATCTAAATATTCTTAGCTTACACAAACTTGAAGATGATTATAACCTTTGTTTATCATTAAAGTTTTACTAAGGCAGATGTACAAAGTTTATGGAGATGTTATATTAGCTCTTGTATTCAACCTCTTCTACAAGGAGGTGAGACAAACTGATAATTTACAATGTCACATTTGATTGCACATAGCATTGTATTTAAAACTAGACAATGGGCGGGGTATATAGATGAGTTTGTCTCTTGTTATGCGTAATGACATAAATCCTCCATACCTCATGACTCTCTGCAGATAGTTCGCATTGCTCATCTTCTTCAGAGCAAGAGTATGCATCATCTGTACTCCCAGCTCTCAACACATTCTTGAAGTGTACTGGAGGGCAGCCCAGCATGGCCTTGTATGGTGAACAACCTGTTAACATAGGAATTATGTTTAAATACAAGCCTGTGTTTCTCATGTCTTCTTCAACAATAAATGTCACAACTGCACTGTGGCAATATTGATATTTCCAGAGTTCTATAAATTTGCAGTAGCCTGAAGGGTGCATGCAACTATATTTTGGTCAATACCTGGTCAACTATGAAACTGTTGTACCTTCTGTAATGAGCCATCATCATTTAACTGTGTCATAATGGTTATTTGTTGGTCAGTGCGTAAAATAAATTCAATGTCACACATCCACATTTACCATGCTTACAGTCTGAAAAGTATATGCTTACATTATGTGCTTCACACTTTGTAACATATGCCCACATTAAATTAAAGCTATATATTCAAACTTTACCAAGTGCAGAATGAATGCTTTCATTGTGTATTCTAGCATATGCCGGCAACTTTTCCACCAAGTTGAAGCTTTCTCCATCACCATGTTTGCTGTGATAAAATTCCAAATGGCTTTTCCAATCCCGGTGTGATTGTTCACTCTGAAATAAATTAATATCTAAATAGTAAACAGATTAGGCAGGCACAAAAAGTGTGCACAAGTGTTATACCATGTATATGAAATATATGAAATATATAACAAAAACAGTTTCCATAATCATAAGAAGCCTCTTCTAAAAGCTGGGTCCACTTAATGATTCCATCAATATCATAAGCATGTGTTATGAATCAACATAAAATAGTGATAGTAGCAGGTGTTCACGAAGGTTAGTGTATCCTGCCCCACCGGTGTCATCTGTCACACACATGCAAGGGTGGCTCTGCCCTAAAGATGACATGGTCCAAATAACATCAACATTAAAGTTCTTACTATTAAGTATCTACATCTATTACCTCAACGTTTAGAGTGCGCATGTTTTGATTGAAATTTGTCACCCACCTTTCCCTGAGATTGGGGATGGTGAGCCCGACTTCGGACAATCTTCGTTCCCATTTCAATGCAGAGTTGGTTGACTGCTCCCTTAAACTCGGAGCCTTGATCGCACTGTAAGATTCTTGGATTTCCCCATCCATACTCAAAGTAGATTTTGTGGAGTTCCAATGCCACTGAACAGGCTCTTTTGTTGGAAAGAGGCCGAAGCCACAAGAATCTTGTGAAAACATCAATAACAGACAAGATGTAAATGAATGTTTCACCATCATTTTCTGCAGGCATTCCAGTTAGTTCCACAAGGTCAACCTGATGTCGCCCCATTGGTGTTCTTGAAATCACCGGTTTTAGTTTGGCAGCATTAACAAATTTAGGATGTAACAGTTGCCTGTCATCTTGCCTGTCTATAAAGTCTTGTATGGCTTCCTGAGAAGTGCCAGCATAATACTGGTTTATCAATGTTCTTATTTTCTTTGCTCCAGAACCCCGCAACTCAGTGTAAAATTTGCAGATGACATTATCAAGTTCTGACTTTGATATCACTATTTTCCTGTCCCCATCAATAATCTCCAATCTATATTCTCCTTGGACAGGGTTGTGAATTTCTGTCAAAGATAAATTGAACTTCCGCATTTTCTGGCAGACATGGTAAAACTTGACAGTCTTGCTATCCTTGGGAATGTCACCTCCTTCAAGTTTTAATCTAAGGCAGTCGTAATTCTCCTTTGAAATCACACCAATACTTCTTTTTCTTGAACATTTTACCTGAAATGCATTAAAAGCAAACCTATTACATCATGTTCAACTGTATGTCATACATGATGTCCATAATCATATTTACCAGGCTTTTCTTTCATATTACTAAATTTATTGACTATGTGCATTAGTCATCCTACAAAAACACATTACCAAAGATACAGAAACTCACCCTCATTGGGCAATGTACATGTCACATGTTAGGCTGAGCCAGAGAAGAGAAATAGTACATGATTTGTTCAAAACACATACTGTAATTCCCAATAAGTACTCGAGTGTTCATTGAAATTTTGTGATAACGTTCTTCTACATGTCCTCATATTTGGTTGCTGATGCTGACAAAAGAATGATGACTAACAATCTATTTTCCACAATCATATTTCTAGGATTCAAGGAAAATTCAAATAAACAGACACTCAGAACTATTTCTTTCTTATTGATTGTGAATGTGGTACATGGTGCTAGTCTTAAAATAAACTTCATATAGAGTAACTGTTTTCATAATGACTGCCATATCAGCCTTTCAAATCACAAGATTCACTGAAATGTGTTCATATTGTAATTTATGGTAAATAAAGCCAAAGACAATCAGGCAATGTAAACATGTAAACCTTAATTCTATGCATTATTTCAGTTTTTCAGAATACCAGGTTATCCTAATGATTGTAAAGAAAGAAAGGAAAACCTTCCCATAATCACATCTTGGAAAAGAACTTTTCAAAATGTTTACTACTTGCAGAAATGGCCCCTATTTTAGTGTCAAGTATTCATACTTAAAACACTAGATTACGATATACAGAACTGTAATGGAATGTCATGCTCACTATAAAAAGTACACATCATAGGCTCATGGTAATGGGAAAATCATAAAAATTAACAAGTTATTTAGCATATGTTGTAGAAGTAGAAGGACCCTCAATATACAAGAACAGATTGTCATGTAGGGAAATGTCTGAGTAGGGAAATGTCTGAGTATGGAAATGTCAGTGTTGGGAACTGTCTGTGTGGGGAAATGTCCATGTGGTTTGTAGCTAATTACATGCAGAATGTGTTATATAGATCAGTAGCAGACACACAGCCTAACCCCAGGGTGAGCTAATGATTATCTTCTAAGATTCCTCTTTAGTTTGTGTCTTTATTTGGGTATACATACTCACAGTATGGTATAATGGACAGATTGTCACACCATGAAGTTATCACCACATCATACAAAGCGTAAGCAATATTACTTCAGAAAAATAGATGAACATGAGATGTATGAGTACCTGTTCTGTTCTAATGATTATTGAACAAACTAATTATACCATTCTTAACAAACATATCAAGATGTCATCATGACACAATAGTTCAGCTATTGCCGAATTTTAAATATTGCTGTGTACGAAGTAAACTAGTGTCCAAAAGAAACGATACCACCTGTTTGCAACGACATAAAAGAAAAACCAAACAATGCAGAAGTTTAGGATTGGTGTTATGCTTTTGAGAAATCCTTTCACAACATCTGTACAAAAATGTCATTTCAATAAAATCTGTACAACCAATATGACAAGCCTTTAAAGATGGGTGGGGTCGAAAAATGAACATTTCGTTAGAGCACTGATCACAGAAACAACGGGAAATGTCACACCACACGTCTCAAAGTCAAGTCAGTAGTGGGTATGTCAGAACACGCCTACGGACTGATGACGTCAAACGTCTGATGACGTTGGGAGTGATGTGTTGCCATTTCTCGAGGAGACATCGTTCCAAGTCCTGGACGTTGACTGGAGGCACACGGCGACGTCGGATTTGCCGATCGAGGTGGTCCCAAAAGTGCTCGATGGGATTCATGTCCGGTGAACATGCGGGCCATGGCAAAACCTGTACGTTGGCGTTGGCAAGGAAGTTCTGTGTCAATCTTGCTGTGTGTGGCCTTGCATTGTCATGTTGGAAAAGGAGTCCACGAGGCTGTTGCTGAATAAAGGGCACCACAACAGGCCGTAGGATGTCATCAAGATAACGCTGTGCATTCAGGTTTCCATGAATTACGACAAGCATCGTTTTGACGTCACCACATATGCCACCCCAAACCATTAACCCTCCACCTCCAAACGGACGGACCTGTTGGATACAGTTAGGCGCCAAACGTTCACCAAATCGTCGGTATACAAGCTGAAGATAAGGAATCTGCTCTCACCAGAGA